CAGCAACCTAAGCGTTCTCTAACTAGAATCTAAGCTAAACGCCTTCTAAAGAGCTCTAACAAACAAGACAACCCGTGCATTAGGTAGAATCTAGCGTTTACTGCCGCTATAGACTAAGTAGTACATATGCGCTTCTACGTTACCTAAATATAGTCGTATAAGTAAGCGGTCTACAACCGCTTAGTAATAGCTAATAACCTAGAGCGCTTAACTTTTTTTCTTAACTTTATAAGGGGAGGATTTTTAACGAGCAAGTGGCTGCCGCGTGTGCACCTTTAGGCTAATAGAGGCGTTACCTAGGGAGGGGGGGGATAGTATAAAGGTATTCTATACACGCGTCCCTACGCACCGGTTTAGCAACTAGTTGCTTACTAAGCGACGGACTTAACAAACTATCTTAATACGTTGCATAGGACTAGCACAGCTACTTAGCTATGCTATGCCTTACTAAGGTTGCGCTATACTGCATTTGTTAGCTATGTATAAATTAGCTAGCAAGCCTTTGCCTACTAGTCTTCTATAGTTTATTAAGTTAAAGTCTTTATATAATAGTATAAACTAGTTAAGCCTTTGTAACTACGCATTGCACACTAACTCTTATAACTAAATATAGACTAGCGTATTATTAGTATTTAAAATTTAACTAATAATATTTACTAGCGCTGCCTTACCTAATATACCTTTTCTCTTATTAGTAGATTATTATACTAATAGTAAAAAATTATTATATAAATAGCAACTCTCTTAAAGAAATATATGCTTAGTTATATAACCTTAAAAAGCTAATTGCCTTTCTTGCCATTTTTTTTTTTTCTTTCTTCTTCTTCTTTCGTTTTTCTTTATTACTTATATATAACCTTACTTACCTTTAATACTAAGCTATATAGTTTGTTTCTGAAAAGGTTTTATTTTAGCTTACTTTAAGCTAATATAGTTAGGATTAACTTTATTACTAAAATTTGTATATAAATTAACTAATAGCAGAATAAATAATAATAACTAAAGTATAGACTAATAAAGCAATTTAGTAATAATCTAAGCATGCTTAAAGAATAAAGTATATATAGGCTATATAAAGATTAGCAAGGCTAAAGTACAGCGCTTAGTAAGTCTTGCCTAATAGTAAGAGAAAGTACTACTAAGCTTTACTAAAAGCGCTAGGCTATATTTAGTAACTAACGGTAAATAAGTAAGATGGTGCTTAGCAAAGCTTGCTAAGCGCCTTTTAGCGTTTTACTACGCTAGACTACTATTATAATATAAATATATTTCATAAGCACTTACTAGTAATAAATTTAAAAGAAGTAAGATAAAGTTTTACTTTTAAGCCTTTATATCTTTTATTCTGCGTTTTATTCTACTATAAAATATATGCCTTTAGTAATACTTCTTATAATAAAGTAAAGTTTTATATTTAAAGCCTTTTAAAAAAACATTTACTTTTAACTATTATTTTTATTTATTATTTACGTTTTTATCTTACTTTTAAATTCTTTTTATATACTATAATTAAACTATTTTAACTAAAATAATAGTAAATTGCTTTAAATTACTAATTAAACTACTTATTTAAAATACTTAAAAAGGTAGTACTTTATTTTTATTTTTATTTCTCTTTTATTTTATTTTATTTTATTTTATTTTATTTTATTTTATTTTATTTTATTTTATTTTATTTTATTTTATTTTATTTTATTTTATTTTATTTTATTTTATTTTATTTTATTTTATTTATTTATTTATTTATTTATTTATTTATTTATTTTATTTTAATTAAATTAAATTTTATCTTATAATAATTACTTCTTACTATAATAAGTTATATACTATTTATATAGTTCGCTATATTCCTTCTTACTAAAATAAAAAAGGCTTTTAGTAATTAAACTATTTTTATATACCTTTAATATAAAAGTCTAGTAAGTATATAATATAGCATTATTATACTTATACACTTTACTTTTATTCTTTAGTTTTTCACCTTTATATTATATAGCGTAAAAGCACGTTATTCTGCCTTATAATATAGTTTGCTTATTATATTACGCATTACTATATATAAGCACTTTAATTAAATTTAAAGCCTCCTTTAAATAAAAGTAATTAAGCACTCTATTATACTTTATAATCTCTTTATTTATCTTTAACCTTTACTAAGCAACCTAATCTAAGTCTTTAAAAAAAGCCCTATACCTTTAGACCTATATAGCCTAGCGCAACCTAACTATAGCGCTACTATAAGCGCTACTACTATATTATTATATTACGTAGCTTAATTAGAATCCTTAGCAGCTTAGGTAGCTTACTTAAGGCACCTTAGCTTAGAACTACCTTACACTAAGTTTAATCTAATTTATTAGCAAGGTAGTGGCTGCCTAAGGCACGCCGCGTACTGCGTACCCTAATTTAACTCTTTAGTATAAGAGACTTGCAATATTAATATAGTAGCTGCCTTAATGCACTATACACTAAGGCTAGCGTTACTAGTAACGAATTTAAAAGAAGTAAGATAAAGTTTTACTTTTAAGCCTTTTATACCTTTTGTCCTACCTTTTATTCTACTATAAATAGTATGCCTTTAGTAATACTTATTATAAAAGCAAACTATAAGGGTATTTTACACACGCGTCCCAACGCACCGGTTCGGCAACCAGTCGCTTACCAAGCGACGGACTTAACGAACTATCTTAACACGTTGCACAGGACTAGCACAGCTACTTAGCTATGCTACGCCTTACTAGGGTTGCGCTACACCGCATCTTCTAGCTACGTATAAATTAGCTGGTAGGCCTTCGCTTACTAGTCTTTTATAGTCTGTTAAGTTAAAGTCTTAATATAATAGTATAAACTAGTTAAGCCTTTATAACTACGCATTGCACACTAACCCTTACACAAACACTAGCATTAGTTAAAAGGAGCCTTTAACGTAATTATAGCTTATAATATAGTTTATAAAAGGATAAAGAAAAAAGAGCTAGAGAATAGTGCGCAATTAAGGCTGTTAAGAAAAAGTACTATATAGTATTGAAGAAGTAGTTTATAAAGGCTATAAAAAAGACTAGGTAGATAAGAATTAAAGAGAGATTAAGCTTATAGGAAATTCGAGACCCTAGGAAGCGTATGCGTCGCTCAAAGAGAGGTTAAAGTTAGAGGTAGTAATAATTTAAATTGTGTTTATTAATGTGGCTAGCACTACCTATAGTAGTGCGCGTTAAAAAACGCGCGCCTTAAGTAGGGCGGGGCATAAGTAGCATACATTAGGAATGTTTTTTAGGTGTGTAGGTGCGTCCGCGCTTTTTAGCTACCTAAAATTAGTGTTACTAATGATATTTTACGGAGTACTCTGTGCTAAGACACTACTAAACTAGCTGGGTTTAAATTGTCCTGCTGTGCCGTCTGCAGTATATTTTCCTAGAGAAGAACTAAGAAGAACCTTTGAAATACATAGTACATTAATGGCATAATTAGCTGCAAACTTAAGTCTGCTGCCCTCTTTTTAAACTACTTTAATAACTTATCTTTTGTACTGTTTGTATGTACATTATATACAAAAGATACATAACTAAAACTATCACTTATTTAATTAATAAAAGTAGTTAAAAAACTATTAACACATTAATAGTATAATTTAAGCTAAACTATATACTTATATAGCTTATATAAGCTAGTACTTTACTTATATAATAAATATTATATTTTTAAGTTATATAAGGTAATTAGTATATAAAAGTAAATCTTATACTATTATAATATATAATAATACTAAAAATATACTAAAAATATATTTAAGCTAGCTTAGTATATATTATTATATACTGTTAGTTTTATATAAAGCTATAGCGTTTATAAGCCTTAAATCTATTACGTAACTTTTTATACAATAAGTTTTATACAGCTTAAGTATATACTTTATAAAAGGCTATAATTTTATTTTTTAGCTATACAATATAGTTATTATACCTAGCTTTACTTTTTAGATATTTTATTTATACTTTAAACAAAATCTATTATAGTTTTATAATTATCTAGTATTTTTATTAGTGAAACTTATTAAAATATCTTTAACTTTAAATAAGCATTAAAATAAGTAAAGTAAGCTTTCTTTATAGTATATAACTACTATAAAAAACGCAGTAATATTATATAGCTTAAATTATTTCGATGTGATTTTTATTTATTTTATTATAATCAATTATTACTATGTACGCTTTGTACACAAGTACTAGATAAAAGGTACATATAAATGTGGTTTAAAAGGGGGGGTGGTTCAAATGGGGGGTAGCGGACTTAGTGCACAGTCACATAAACACGAGACAATGTAAAGCCATGGTTCGTACTATACAAGCAGGAATGCCACTTTCTCCTATTATCATTCTTATCGTAGATGTGGGCCGCGCTTTGGTGCCTGATCTCTTAAAAATCCACAGATCGCTGGATTGATTATCCCCGGATGGCAGGTGACTACCGTATGTATTGACATTGCCCCTCCCGCCAAGCATTCCGACATCTTATGAGCCGGCGATTGGCTAGAATCTACCGAGCTTCACAGACCGGCACCGCATTCCTGATTAGGAAGTTCGCGAACATCGACTTACAGCCTAAATCTGCTTTAATGGAGCCGGGGTCGAAAATGCCAAGAACTTGGCATTGGTTAAGGACAGGTTTGCAAGGGTTGAAGCGCAGTGTTTTTCGACCAGTTGTGTGATTTCGGATCGCGGAACTGCTGTCGACAGCTTAGAACTGTTATCACAGATTGCTAGATTTAAAGCCAAGGGTAATCGATTCACACGTTAGGAAGGTGGAGGGGGGTGGAGGGTTAGATTTGTGTTGAATGGTAAATACCTAATCGTCGCGATACCATATCACAAGGTATATAAGTGCCAGTCTCCTCTTCGAGTCCTGTTTTGGTGCTAAACAAAGAACCCAAAAGACTGCTTTTCTGCTCCTGGCTCTGGGGTCTTCAAATTGCAAATTGTCCGCAGTTTGATCAAATCATAAAGATGCAGCCCATCATTGTTGGGACTTTGGCCCTCGGCCTCTTAGCAACCGGTGGCGCAGCTTCCCCGGTGCCTATGCCGACTCCGGTAAGCTAAGAGGCAGCATACTTTGCTACCATTGAGGCGTCCTTATACTAATCTTATGCTTATCAAAAAGCCTGGCCTTCCTACCGCAACAACCGCCAAGTCCCTCCTATCTGGCCTGACTGTGGCTGCGTACACGGATGACGGCGAGTACAAGCGTACTCTGTTCCCGACTTGGGACACAATTGAAGGAACCTGCAACACTAGAGAATATGTGCTCAAGCGGGACGGTACCGACGTCGTGACCAACTCGGCCTGCGTCGCGACATCTGGTAGCTGGCTGAGTCCGTACGATGGCGCCACGTGGACCGCCGTGTCCGATCTTGACATCGATCACATGGTCCCGCTTAAGAATGCCTGGAACGTAAGTAATGGCGAGTTATATGATTAGGTGCCTGATTTTTAAACTAACGACATCCAGTCCGGCGCAAATGCGTGGACAACAGCGAAGCGTGAGCAGTTCGCCAACGATGTTACGCGTCCACAGCTGTGGGCGGTCACGGATAACGTCAACGAGGCCAAGGGGGACAAGAGCCCAGACGCATGGAAGCCGCCGCTGTCTTCGTTTTACTGCACGTATGCGCGCGCGTGGGTGGAGGTTAAAAGCTACTGGGACCTTAGCATCACGACAGCGGAGAAGTCGGCGCTGTCATCTATGCTGAACACTTGCTAGATTGCATCCATGTAAACTTTATAGCAGAGAGCCAGTTTTAGCCAGAGTCGTCGTCTAAGTAGGAACGGAATATCAGATTTCTAAGTGACCGAAATAGTAATTTGTCTTTGAAATATTGCCTATCATGAAGTAGCACGCCCTAAAAGAAAGAAAATTAGTGGATTAGTAATGTAGGTATCGGCGTCCTAGAGTAGCCTAGTTTTTGATCGAGCGAAATACACCTCATAAGAAACAGGTAGGCAGATCGTACACAGAGCTAGGGTGAATGATTCGTAATTTTTTGTAAGTGTCTCGTAAAGAGGTGTTCTAGCTACGGAGTACAATAAACCCTCTTTTGAGCAGCAAAATGTGCCGGGACGTTCGAAGATTACCTCCCGTTTAAGATAGTAGCCACTTACGTCGTACGAGAGACAAACACCACGACCGTTATTGTTTTGTAACAGAAGCCGAATCTTCCTGGCGGGATTCGCGGGGCGCGAAGAGCAGTTGACTAACGAAAGAGCAGGGGTGCAGGAAACCATACGTACTCACATGTTGTCAAATTGAGTAAGCGTGTGTGTATTGTTATTATGGTTGGCTACTTCCGAGCTATGCCGACGTGCATAAAATCCCATACTAAATAGCGCCCTGCGCCACACAGTACATGTATTCTTCCATTATACGGCACAATCGTGCACGCCCCTCCTATATTGGCATGGTCTGTTCGACACATGTATTTTACGTCGTAAGGAAAAACTTTGTAAGCATTATTTACGAGCCGCCCATCGTGGCCGACATACTCCGTATAGGGTATATGCATAATTAGTACCAGGCTAGTCAACACAGGTCCATTTTTGGTCCGTCTGCGGACGAAATAAACAGGGGCCGTACGGAATACAGAGTATCACAAGATCAGATTATCTCGTATTACAGTACATACGTAGTAGTTCCTGTATGTGGAATAGGACGAACACGGCCTGGAGGTTGCATTGGAATTCGTCCAGTGCAGCGGACTGGTGTCGGACGATTTACTGTAGAGGGCAGGCGGTTGGAGCGAAAAGATCATCCAGCCAATAGTTGTGAACAGTAGGCATTCCGTGGCAACGCATAAACGAGCCAAGACCCAAAAGAGTACAACTTCCCAGGATGCGGTTATAGCTTGGTAATGCCGTCTGATTTCTAGAAGTCCTGGCAGCTTGGGGGTGGGCTGTCAGTCACAACAGCCGGCGCCAGCACCTGCCCCATCAATCGGTAGGGGTGTATCCAGGGGTGGGGTAGCACCGCAGGGAGCTTGCGTGCCCACCCAAACTGTAACTGCGAAATGTAAAATTGCATTCAAACTCGCGATTGAACGACGCTGCTCTATGCCCTAGGGCCTTGCGCCGGGAACGCTTCTACGGAGTACGGAGTACGAGAACTCATGCAGCAAATGCTGACACACAGGTATGTATGTTGTAAGTAAGCAGGATGCAGCCAGCAGCTGTAACGTATAAAGAGCAGTGGGAAAGCCACTCTATCTAACCGAGCTGCTTTTATTTTGTGTGCATCACTATCGACTTCCTGTGAAAAAGAATTGCTCCTACCTTACAGAGCGGGTTTTTGTGTCTTGTGTTTCAAATTACTACATTGCCACCAGGACAGACAATGTTTTCCGCAATGCGGGGGAGCTTCCTTCTGCTCCTGACCGTGGTCAACGCCGTTTCCGTCTCGGCATACCGCTGGTTCAACTGGGAGTTTGACGTCACTTGCGAAGCCACGGACCATATTGTTCCAGCAGACGAGGCAGAGCTCGCTACTTTTCTCCAGAACGAGCACGCCAAAGGATCATTCATCAAGGTTGTGGGAAACGGACACGGTCTCTCGAACTTGACTACATGCGTCGATGTCACAACGACAACGCGAGACTCTTATATTGTCAGCCTTTCCAACCTCCGCGGTATCACCTACGGCGCCAACAACACTGTGACCTTTGGAGCCGGCTGGGATCTGGTGGAAATTGTGCCTGAGTTGATTGCACATGGCCTGCAGCCCGCCAACCTGTGCAGCGAGAGAGTGCAGAACTTCATCGGCGCCGCTACTACCGGAACACACGGCACAGGCAAAGGCCTTAGCAACATCGCCTCTCATATTCTTGCTTTCCGCGTGCTTGACGCAACCGGCCAGGTGCACGTTATCAATAGCGAGATTGACCCCGACGGTGTCAAGGCGTTCAAGATCACCCTGGGTGCACTGGGAATCATCACTGAGGTCACCATTCAGGCCGAGCCGCTGCAATTCCTGAAGCGGACGACTAAGGTCGTCAATGCTACCTCAAATGTCACAGAGCAGGCTCGGCTGATTAAGCAGTACGGAACGGATTTGGATCGCGTGAACATTGCGGGTCCTACGTACGGCTGGAACAGCGAGACCTTGGAGTGGGAGATTGAACCGACGTTTACGCTCATGTACTGGGAGCCGACCAACGTGACGGGCGTTTACAACTGCTCCACGAATTTCTGCTCAAACGGTTGCGGAGACTGCAAGTCAAACAGCTTTTGCTATGACCTGGCGCCCTATTCCATTTCTGTGCCGCCGTCTGGCGTCTGCTCTCGGGCATTCCTTGGCCAGTTTGAGCACTTTGTTCCTATTGAAGAGCTGGAGTCCGCATCTATTGACTACACCAACCTGCAGCTATCTCAAACCAACCAGCTGAAGGAAGCCAACAACGAGGTAGCTGTGTATGAGTACCGCTTTATCAAGGGCGACGATGCGTTCCTGTCGCCGGCAAACACATACAACTTAGGCCCAGAGAACAGCGGTATCTTTGCTGCGATCACGATCTCGTACATCCCTACTTACAATGACTACCAGTCTCTTTGGGCCTACACAGACGCGCTGGGGACATTTGTCGCAGATCTTGGCTATAAGCACAATGTCCGCCCACACTGGAACAAGAACTCTAAGTTTAACCTGACCTACGCTGAGTTTGCGTACCCTAAGGTGCAGAAATGGCTTGAGTACGAGGAAAAATTTGATCCCAAGTGTCAATTCGTTAACGAGTTCTTGGTGGATCACCTGAACCTTACTCGCTGCGAAGGCGTCATTCCTACAACCATGCCCTCTGTTATTGTTTAGATGCAATTGGTGGAAACATGGCCCGAGTTACAAGAAGTAGAGGGAGCTGCAATTGCAACATTCACTCTTAGACATTCTCTGTATATAGTCATAGTAACCCCTGTTGATTACCACGATTTTGCCAAGCTTCTGGTACGAGTTTATTACACCATTTAAGTACGGAGGATTGAAAAACGTTTGCATTTTGTTTCCGCCAGCCGCGTATCATCTACATCAAATTGACAGCAAAAAATATAACATATAGATGTACTTTTATTTCATGGCATAAGCTAAGATGGCGATGGCGATCGTAAGTTTCTTAAGCAAAGCACCGTTGCTATTACAAACCCTCCCGCTTTAATTTATCCTAATACTGTGCCTAATGTGTGTTCTTTACTCTATATGCAATTTTAAACTTTGGAGCACGACTGCTAGTCTAAGATTGATTAGGTGCTAAACATTAATAGCTATTAATACTGCATAAACGTATACTAACCTAACCGTTAACTTTGTCGTTCGCCTTTTTCGGGGGGAAACGGTTTTGCCCCGGCGGTTATCTTGGTTATATACTACCGTATCTCTAAAAACAATCCCGGGCTGCTCTAAACGGCAGTCTATAGTATAGGTAAAAAATTCCGTACATAGAAAATGCAACACTTGTTGCCCGTATCTAAGAGGGTTAAACTCTAACGTATTAAAAAGATTGGTAACTTAAGACTAAACGTATACCTTAGACTAATTTAGGTCTGTTTATGTTAAGTAGGACAGTTATCTTATACAGCGATAATAATTACCATAGCTTCTTTTATAGCCACCGCCTATAGGCTATGTATAGCTTACTAACGACCCTGCCTACTACGTAGAGTTACTAGTAACTTTCGCGGGTAAGGAATATAAGCCTTCTTTAAGGGTACTTATAAGATAGAAAGAGAGGGAGGGGGAGATACGTATATTAAGAGAAGATAAAGCTATCCTACTTGTACAAATATCTCTTTTTCTTTTTCTTTAGCTTAAACTAATTTAATCTACTTAATGATAGCTTTATTTATTAGGCTAGACTTTTATATATAAAAGCTAAAAAGAGTATATTATATTAGCATAAGCTAATATATATAAATTAGCAATAATAAGTTAACTGTCAAGCATTAGAATCCGCCACACTATGGCCCTTCTGCCCTACTTGGCCGTACGGGCCTGTGATTGGTTAGAAGGCACAAAAGCGGGGCTTAGCACTAGTATTAAATCCCTAGAAGGGTCGCGATGTATCTATTTCTTCCTTAGTACACAACACTCTTTCGCCCACACTAGACCCTATTTAGCCTCCTGCTCCTTATAGTGCATTACGTTATATGACCGCTACGTATAGCCTCCTTTAACCTTGACAGGTTATAAGCCCGGCCTAAGAGGACTGGGAGAAGCTGAACAAATAAACCGAAAAGCCTTTACGATACGCTTTGTAAAGCACCTAGTGCTTTAGGCACTAATCTAACGGACGAAAAGAACCTTGTTAAGATTACTAAGGTTATATTTATAGCCTTGCCTAGCTAGAACAGAACTCCTAGTAGTAGACTAAGCAGTAGACCTCTAATCGTTGAATTAGAATTAGACGCTAAGTTTAAGTTAAGCATCGAAAGTAGCATTTACGTGGCTAATAAAAGTAGCATTTATAAAGCTAAACTTAATAAAGACATTTAAAACAACAAAAACGACGCTAGTAGTAAAGAACCTAATTAGCAATTATAAGCTTTTAAATCCTTTTATAATCTAGAACTAAAACTTAAATCTCCTACTATGTTATAAGCTAGTGCAGCAGCGCCTAATTTAATTTAGGTTAACTTAACATACATTAAGCTGTTTGTAAGCTACTGCTTAAAGCAAGTGCCAACGCTTACTAGCGGCGCAAACTAGAATAAATAGGAAAAGAACGTATTTAAAGGCCTTAGCCTGCTAGGTATTAACGATTTTACTACTATTAGGCAGATAGCTACTAATAACTATTAATTAATTAAATACGCTATAACCCTATAGGTTAACAACGACTTGCTTAAGCAAACTAAAGGAAATAACATTAAGATTATTTACAAAACGCTTAAATAGCTCTTAAAACTATAAGAAGCTAATCTAGCCATTAATTATAGCACTAAATTTTAGACAACAATGCGCTAGTACAATAGTAAAAAGATAAAGAACTTTTTTACTAGAATTAAAGAAATTATTTACGGCTATAATACTTATATTAAGCTGCTTACAGGCAAGCAAAAGGCTATAAATCTAATTAGCTGCATTTGTAGAAAGTTCCCTACCCTAAATGCAAAAGTGCTTAACCTTTAGCAAAGTAAATAAACTACTATAGCTAACAACAAAGTTTACGCAGCAGTAAAGCTTTTCGTTACTAACCGCTATAAAGAGCGGATGTTTATTACACTAAACGCTAAAAGCAGCAATAGTAGTAGCACTAGCACTAACAAGATTAAAACTAAAAACAAAACAACTGGGGAAAAAGATAGCAGTTGTAGCACTAAAAACCTAAAAACTAAGGCTTTTAGCAAACGCTAAGAGGGCGTAAAATGCACGCACTATAATTGCACTAGGTATATAATTATTAAATGCTAGAAGAAAAACCTAGAGCTTTGCCTTAAGTAGGCCTTTAGAGGCAAGACTAGTAACGTAGTAAAGAAAGAACCCTTTAGCAAAGCAGTTAGTTTTATAACTACTATCTAGTTTAGACTTATAGACAAGGTGCTTACGTTTATACTAGCACTCGATTTTAGTATAGTTATAATTACTAATAACTTGTAAGAAGCGGTAAACATAGACCCTTGCTATAGGTTATACAATAGTATTGTTACTACGGATAATAATAGCTACGCGCTAGATGCGTAAATAAATTATAAAGGCTTAGATCTATGCCCCTAACTAATAAAAGGCTATGCTTACTATGCCTCTTTTTATAACTTTTATAGTAGCTATATAAACGACTAGTTGTTTAATATAAAAGGTAATATTTATATTACTAACAACCTTAGTTAGTTTAAACCTAGTATAGAATACACCGCTATAATTACAATTTATACTAGCGGTAGCCTTATTATTACTAAGTTTGCAGGCTAAGTAGTGCTTTAGATAGTAAGACTAGACGGTAAGGCATATAGAGCAACCTTAAACTATGTTTTCTTAGTACTAAGCTTCCTCTTAAATATTATGTCTAGCTTATACTTTTATGAAGCAGGCAATTATATTAACGGCACTAAGCTAGTAGCTGTAAACAAAGCAGCCTTTTACTAATTTAATATTAAAAAGACTAGCTTCTCTATACTAATTTAAAATAAGCCTTCTCTTACGTAAGAAGAGAGTTAAAAGGAGATAAATTGCGTAGCTTAAGAATTTTACTAAGACTTTGTTTAAGATGCTAAGACTAATCTTAAATTTAATAAATTTAACTTAAAAGCTATATATAGTCTTTAAGTAAGCGCTAAAAACTACGCCTTATTTATTAAAGGATAAGTTACTTGTCTTAAAGGGCGCTTAAAGAGACGTTAAAGCAGGTAGAAAAAGGGCTTATAAAGCTAGAAAACGTTATAAAAAACACTAAGCTAGTTTGCACCCCTTATAAACTAGCAAAGGCTAAGCACTTTAAGCTAAAAGATAAACGCAAAATTTATATATAAAGACTAGAAAAGGTATATTACGTTAACCTAGGCTAATTTAAGCAAGTTAGCTATAATAAGTTAAGGTATATTACTATTATTAAGGATAAATTTATAGGTATAATTAAAGTGCTAGTATATAAAAAGAAAATAAAAGCACTACCTACAATTAAAGTAGTGCTTAAAAGAAATGCAAATAAACTAGGCTATAAGCTTGTTTAAATTCACCTTAATAACGGCATAAACATTGCTATTATAGCTATTAAGCGCTACTATGTACTAAGAGGCATTAAGGTAATCCCTAGCCCTTTATATAACTTAGCAAAGAATAAAAAATCTAAGAAGGCAGTTAAGAAGGTTATTATTCGTACTAGACTACTTTATCTCTAAAGTTGTATTCTTTTTATGCTTTAGCTATAAGTCTATAAGTTAGCAACTTACATTTAAAACTATATAGCTAACTTTAAAGAGAAGGTACTAATTGTTAAGTAGCGACAAAACAACGGTTAAAAGAAGAACAAAAACTTTATACTAGACGTCTTCTACCTGCGCACAATTAGCTTTAAAGCTATAATTTAAAAACCTAACTAAGTTGTCTAGAAGGCAAGCGATTTAAAGCTTAAACTATAAAGCAAAAAAGCTATGCTTATAGGCTTTAAAGAGACTTACCTATATAAGTGTTAGACTATCCTCTATAGTAAGCTTGTTGTTACAAAAGACGTATATATATTTAAAGAAATCGTAGAAGACGTGTATTTAATTAATTCTTAGCCTAAGAGAGTCTAGCGCCGCACTAAGAAGGTAACAATCGATTAGAAAACGTAGGACTATAACGTCTTTATCCTAGAGCCTAACTCTAACATTAAGGGGAAGCTTAATCTAGACAAAGATTTAAATAATATCTTTAATCTAAAAGACTTTAAGGAGCCCTTATAGGACTAAGCTAGCATTCTAAATTAACCTTAGGAGGTTATTACAATCTTAAATCTAACTTTTATTTACAAACGCGCAGTGCTGCCTTAAGCCGCGTATAATCTAATAGAAGTAAGCAGCGTAGACCTTGCATAGCGCGCACTAAGTGCGTATAACATAGAAAAAGATAAGCTAACTATAAAGTAGGTGCTATTAAGTTTTTAGCGTAGCTAGAGTATATAGCGCTTATAGTAGAATAAACAAATTTAAAAGTATTTAGCGTAAAGATATTAGCTATAATATTATAGCTTTTTAACTACTTTTAATATTTTTTTTATTAAAGCATTTTATCTAGCTTTTAAGTAATAGTAAATAAAGTTTTACTTATAAGTAACGCTTAAATTATTAAGGATAAAAAGGTTATAAAGGTAAAATTAGTATTATAACTTAAATAGTAAAAAG